GTAAATGTATTTCTTTACAAAATACTGGTACGCAACAAAACTCAACCCAACTACTAAAACTACTTAAAAATCTTATAAATGAAAATTCTAACCAAGAAACTAAACAAAATTTAAAGAAAATGTTCTTGTTATAAAAACAATACTTTTAATTTTTATAATAAAGATTAAATACAATAATTAATAATTTAATTTGTGTTGTGAATTTTTATTTTTTTTTTATTTTTTTTTTAATCAATTAAATCATATCAATACTGATTAAAATATGAAGTACTTTAATTTATAATTTTGAAGCTACATAATTCAATTTTTAATTGACAGAAATTTAAAAGTGATGTCTAATAGCTACATGGGAATTTTGGGTTGATTATTTATTTGTAAAAATTGGCGAGCCTATTTGGATCAGTTTTGGGCTGAGTCTAATTTTAATTTAAGACCTGCCCAGGTCTATTATTTGTACTTTTTTTTTTTCTTGAGCCAGGCTTGGGCTTATAAATATTTTATGGGTCTAAGTATAGGCTCTATTGAAGCCCACCTAACCCGGTCCATTCTGGACCCTAATCACTAGTCATAAGTATAGATTAGGGGTCTGCAAGTGGACATGCCGGGCATATTGGCACCAGGCCATATACTAGTGCCTCATGCTGTGCTCTTGCTTAAGGCACAAAAATGCTAGACATTACTGTGAATATGGGACAAATGCTAGGCATTTTATGGGCATAAGCAGAGATTGTATCCATATAAGGTTACCCAGATAACTCACATAACACCCATTAACCGGGTCATGATTCTTGCTACCTGGGTGACCCATATTAGTTATCCGTAAACTCATAACGCTGCTACAACAAAATTGTCATGTCAGATTCTCGATTTTGATTGGCTAATAGCCAAGGATATTCAAAATTTTGACCTGAAATTAACTTTTTAATTTTTTTTAAAAAAATAAGCTTGTATTATAGTAAAATTGGCCCAAGAACAATTTTCATTTAGTGGATAGCTACAATTTTATTAGTAAATTTATGTGTAATTCCAGTCTAATTTTTTTCGTCACTTTTATAAATTTTTAAATGTTTGGTGAAAAATTAACCAAATGATTGTTTGGACAATTCAATAAGTTTGTGATTTGGCAGTAATAAAACTTTTGATTTGAGTATTTAGTATATAAAACAACAATGTCAACACATATTTTTGCTTAAATGCATGTCCAGTATGTTTAATGTGTTTACTCTGTATGAGAATTTATAGTAAAGATTGTTCATACCAACAAATAGATCTTAATAAAAAACATAAAGATCTGAATATAAGATTAACTTTTATAATAAATATATAAGTAGGCATTAATAAAAAAAAAGTTTGTTGCCAACAGAATATACTTTTTAAAAAATACATGAATATATAAAAACTATAGATGCAATTTCACACCACAAGACAGAGCTTCTTCCAAATTAAATTTATTCATGGTTTTCAGATATTGAGAATCTTATCAAATCAAATTCACTTCATGGTTTTGGGTATTGCAATCTCCACACTGCAAGTAAATGTTTTTTTCAAATTGGATTCACTTTATAGTTTTGGGTATTGTAAATCTGGCAATAGGCAATTAGTTAAAATAAAATCTAAAAAACATGTAGATGAACTCTTACAAGATCATTCTTATATATTTACATGTACAAATTCTCTTACCACATTTGCAGTTTTTCTTATTAA